AAGAACAATGTTGTTAGTGCTCACAGTTGTTTCTGGAACAAACTTTAGATCCTCAAATATAGATCTTATTTTCTCATTGGTTCTTATTATGTTCCCAAGCTCCTGTCTCCTCACAGATTTATCAACGTGAGCTATAGTTGCATGAATTTTGCAGCGTACAGGCTTGTGATCACTCTCAATAACATCCATGCAAGCTTCATACATTATAACCGATGAAACTAAAGGGCATTGTAAGTTGCTCTCTGAGAAAGGACTTGCTTGTGTGTCTCTGTATATAACTCGGTCACACCATGCAGGGATTCGCTTCTTCTCTCCTGAATCATAACCTGGAGAGTACAGAAGACAGAAAGTCTATATATAAATAACTCTTGTCACACCATGCATGGAAACTACATATTCAGATTCATACTTACCTCCAAGGCCTGATTTATTCCTTTCGAATTTGTAAGTGGGAGGGAATGTGATTAATGCCTCACGCATTCCTTGGAAGACTTTGCCAGCTTTCATCTCTTGTCTAAGTTGGTCTCTTTCTCTGAGCCAGTCAAAGGATCTCTGTGAAATGAAGTCTCTGGCTTCATCATAGGTTATACCAAACAGTCTATAGTTAAAATCTCCGAAAAATGCGATCAGGTCTGCTGCTGCTAAATCAGACTTGACTTCTTCAGTGCCAGTGCTTGGATTCTGGTGAAACAGAGAAACATGTTCAGTACAAAAACATGTTTTAGTAATGGTGATATTGATAAAGATACATACAGTGGTAGTTTTTAGTGTATAAGCTGTTGTTGAGACACCAGCTGCAAGAGAGAGGGCCCATGGCAAACCAGAAGAATAAAGCAGCCAAAATAAATATGTTGAAAAGCCAAGTGAGCAAGACAAGAACAGTAACAACACCATACCAGCTGCAGTGTTACTTAGGTTTTGTCCTTTGGAAAACACCATTAACCGGAAAATGTGATTGAAATCAGCGTTTCTGCGGTTAACTGCTTCCAAATGTGCAGCTAAATGGCAGTTCACAAAGCACATGATTCTGTCATAAACTCTGATTCTTAATCCTACACCTCCCTGATTTGACAAGTGAGAAACCAATGCGTTACCAAGATAAACAAAACAAAAATACAACAAAAATGCATGTATAGATAATGAAATGCCAGTGTTAGAAAAAAAAAAAAGATAATGAAATGCCAAAGGTCTAAGTAAAGCTGCACAGTGGGTCATATACATTGCTAGTAAACAATATTTTTCATAAAGATAACTTCCTTATTTGCATTTCACAGTCAAATAAGATTGCAATAGATAATGAAATGCCAAAGGTGGTCTAAAGTGCATAGAGGCTCCATAATCAGAACTTTCAAAGTAAAAAATGAAGAAGACATACTTTGTTGCCAATGGCACGGCCAAAGCCACATGGGACAGCTGCAACATCAAGATCTCCAACATGAGTTCTAATCTCCTTTCTCGCCCTAAGCAGAAAATTACAACACATAATGAGCTAACCATGGTAAGAAAAACAAGTGACACATTACATTAGTAACTACTAAGCACACAGCATTTCATAACAGAAAATTTCACTAACCAAAGAGATATAAGAAGCCCTGCCAACTGTCTTGAACCCATACGCTCAAAAGTGTTCTTCTCATCAAGTGCTTTTCCAATTGCATCAATCCACCATTGCCCCACAACACTTCCTTCAAGTCCAACCTACACAACCACTCGTTTCATTAAAAAACAAGCTTTGCATTCAAAGCAACATCGAAAGTACTAAAACGAGTTATTACCGTTTCCTTAGCAGCAGACATGGCAAGGAAACCTGCCCCCATATCCACTTCTTGCAACCCAACAACGACAATACCAACATCTGAACTAACAGAGCCCAGCCAAGACATAAGCGCATCATGTGAAGCCTGTCGTTGACCAACATTCCAAGTACCAACCAAAATCCTAACACTATCTTTTCTAGCATATAAACCTTCCTTCTGAGACAGCTCTGTTCTGATTATGTTATCCATGGGTCCTGGAGATGTCACATACCATCCTCTTACTCCACCATGAGTAGCCAAACTAAAAATAAAACCACCACCCGCTGCTAACTTTATCACAGGCTCATTATGTGAGACCCAGCTCGCCATTAACTTCCCATCAAGATCCAAAACCTGGATGTATCCACTAGCATAACCCACATAGATTCTATCACCAAAAGTACAAAAGCACAGAACAGGTTTGTGGTGGTGATTCACATCTCTCAAGCGGCTTCCATTACCATCCCATTGCACAATCTGACCACTCATGTTACCTGTCCAAATAGTTCCGTCTACAGCTAAGACAATAGCTTCTGTCTTCCTTGTGTCTTCCGCAAACCCTCCTGCACTTCTAGTGGCCACTCGGCGAACAGCTCCTGCAGCTCCCATGATAGCATTACGTGATCGTTGTAGAAACCCCTGTGGTTTCTCCTTTTTTGAAGCTGAGAAGAACTTTAGTTTTGTCTCATCGTCGCCTTGTTGGTCTTGTGTAGGTGGCGTGTCTACACGACACTCAACTTGCCCGTCAACGTTTAAGACTTTCAATAGGTCTTTACTCCGAGCATCCCTGCACAAAGATCAATAAATGATTAAAAGGAACTTAACATATACAAAGTTTGTTAAAAACATTACCATATTGAGAATGAGAGTGACTGCACAGCCCACACTTTAGCTCTTACTAAATCCGTTAACAAAAACTTGACCTCTGAGGAAGATATGCTACATGTCCCATTCACAGTAACTTGAGTCCTGAGATCAATGGCAGATCTCTCCACTAACAACGCAGCCATGTGTTTCTCCGCCGGTTTAAGCAAAAGAGATTTCTCTAACGAATCCCAAGGCCATATTTTAATCACACCTCCTTCAGAACATGACCACATATCACCTACATCATCAACATAATAACAATGATGAGGATGAACATGATGAGCAACCATAGAGTAAAATAAACTAACCATAAGAGCTAATGACAATAGAATTCACAGGACCACGATGAGCTAGCCACGAGATACGTTCCTTAAAAGGCTCTGAAACATCATCAGAAGCCTCACAAGTCGTCTCCTGATCCATCATCTTCCAAGCCCTGATCTTACCATCCTTATGCCCACTCCACAAAAGCTTATTGCTCTGGTCAGCAACCAAACACACTGTAGGTGAAGTAGCAACAGATTCATGAAACGGCGCCGTATCCTCATCCCCACGACGTACTTGTCCACCAATCCCACACCCTCCCTCGTACACGTCATCAATGTTCCAAACCCGCACGCCGTTCTCTTGACCAGACCATAACTGCGTCTCCGTACAAACAATGTTCCTCAAGAACTTCCCGGTCTGCGTCTCCCTCAACGGATGCGGCCTCAGCTCGAGACACGGCGGCCGTCCGGGATGCACCGCCGCCCGCACCGGAGCTTTAAAGATCCCGGCGCCGCCTCCGGCGCCGATAAACTCCGGGAGCGGCTCGACGCCGTCGTCTCCGACGACGGCGTTTGGAGGAGGCGTGACGACGGCGTAATCCTCGCCGTTGACGGAGTCGGAGACGGTTTCGGTGGTGCTGACGATGAGTCCTCCGGTGGAGAATTCGTCGTCGGAGGAGTCGAAGTAAACGGCGTCGTTTCCTAAGGTGGTGGAGCGTTGGACCTCGTCGAGGCTGTGTTTGCGGATCTGGTGGTGAGGCTTCTGGTGGTCGAATTGCATGCTGTAGGAATGCGTCTTGCGACGTGGAGGGATGGGGACGAGAGAGGCTAACGCCTCCTCGTCCTCTTCTTCGATTACTGGAGCATCCATGGATGATGATGATCAGAGAAACTCAAGCGGTTGAGAAAGAGAAGTCAGGAGAAAGAGACAAGGAGAGAGATTCATGACGACAACGACAAGTGTACGGAAGTTAAATGTCTTTGTTTAATGTTTTTTTTTTGGTCAAATGTCTTTGTTAATGTTTAAAGAATGTTTTTTTGTGATTCTCCAAGGAAGTCGCAGTCAGAGAGAGAGAGTGAAGTACAGTATGTATATATTTGTCATTATTTACGGTCTAAGTCCTTATCATCGTGATAATATCAATGTTTTTCTTTAATTTTTGTGAACTTATGATTAAACCTCTTAGTTTTCTTATTTCTCTTCTTCGACTGTATTAATCCGTTTTTAATTTATGGCATTATATGATCCTTATAACTGTAATATGATTCTGGTGATGTGTTTTTATTATGGTTTTGACTTTTGCTATACTTATTTGTGTGGGATAAAGAAAAAAGAAACTGAAATTTAATTATTGGTATTGAGTTATTTTCAGTTGATAAGATAAAGAGTAACCAACAAGTGAATTTTTGAGTATGGAAGCAAGAAGAGTCTTGTTTCAATGAGGTTTTGTGTTACAATAAAAAGATAGGGCTCCTCACAAGAAGAGCAACATATCAAAGAGTACGCAGACCAAATGAATTAAGACTCCATAAGCCTATCCATTATGAGTTTCAAGACCGCAGGAGCATCAACCGTCACTGCTACTTTTACAGATGGTTTTTCTGACCACTCGGTCTCTTCCTCAAACCTGGTTCACATCAGAACACACATACATGAAACCATGTTGTTGACCCCACATGTCCAAAGTTCTTTGTTCTAATCTATACAATTTGTTAGTTTCATGAATCTTTACCTCTTCTGATTGTTGTAAAGTAAAGTGAGTCCTCTAGTGATGCCGTTTGTTTGCACTCTAACAACTCCTTCAGTATAAGTGAACAGAGATGGAAGGAAAGCCGCAATGATTGTTGTAGGATCATGAAGATAAACACCTACCAGATTAAAAAAAAAAAGAACAGGTAATGATCAAACATATAGAGCAGAAACTTTGTCATTTTTGGGTCTAAATGATTGTTATCAAATTGTACCTTTGATCTCATAAGTGTCAAGATGATAAGAATAGTACAAACCAAGGATTTTACATAGGTATTGAGCTAGTTTCCCGTTGGATGACGCCAGTTTGTCTCTGTCATCAGCTGAATCAAGCAGAAACACACAACAACAAGAAAAAAACAAGTTAGATGATAAGAAAGTATTTGATTACAAAATGTGTTAACCAATATACTAAATAAGATCTGTTTCACTAAACTATGTTCTTGGTGGTAACAAACCCAGCGATTAGGATCATCATGATTATGTTAACAACGTTTGTATAATTATAGAAAACATCAAAGGAGTAACCTGTCATAACAACTTGATGAGTCACGTTGATCCCCACAGCAATTATATCGGCTCCACATGTGAAGACAATATCTGCAGCTTCTGGATCTCCGAAAATCTACCATAGACAACAACTTGGGTAAGAATATATATATGGACATGTGAAGAAATAAAAACTCTACATAAGAGCATTTATTATTCACACTTAATAGTACTACTAGGTGGAGATCACATATTCATATTACTATAGTGAGTGAAAGAACTTACATTAGCTTCAGATGCTGGATTTACATTTCCATTTACCGCAAATGATCCACCAAGAAGAACAATTTGTCCGACATTCTTGGAAAACTCAGGATCAAGCTGAACAGCCTGCATGTCAAGGTAATCAAAATCTTCAATAAAACAGTGAGATAGAGATAGAGGTAAGACTCAAAAATGAGCATGAGAAAGTATTAACCAGTGCTATGTTTGTGAGAGGTCCCAAAGCAACAACAGTGATTTCACCAGGGTGAAGCTTAGCTTGTTCAACTAAGAACGCAGGTGCAGATTTCTCAATTGGCTTTCCTTCAGGTGGTGGGAAGTTTTGGTTTCCAAGCCCATCTTTTCCATGAACGAAGTCAGCAACTCGAAGTTTTGTCCCATTCTTAACAGATGAAAAGACAACAACAAGTTATCAAAACATTAAGGCACAGAGACATGTTGTTGAATCTCAAACACATTAAACATAGAAAGGACACAAAGTAGAGACATGCTAACCAGGATAGTTTTATGTGTTCCTTCAGCCACAGGAATATCAGTGCGACCAGCAACCTCCAACTAGTAGTAGATCCACAAAAGATGCTTTATGTAATTTAATTTCATAATGAGATATCGATAAAGAAGAGAGTACTGTAGAGATTTAAGGATACCAAATGCAAGGCGTTACGAGTGGCGAGAGTGGTGTAAACGTTGCCATAGATAGTAGTGAGACCAATCACATCAACTTCTGGTGATTTTAAAGCCACGAAGATTGCCATTGCATCATCTACACATAATCATCGAAACCAGTGAGAAGAAAACACATGAAAGCTCTCTTCATAAAGCCAGTGAAGTCAAAAACATAAAAAGAACTCATGGATCTATCTCAGATCTTCAAAAGTTCTCAGATTTTGAATCAGTAAACTCTCTGTAGTATAGGATCAGTACAAGTCAAGTTTCTTAAAATCACAAGAAGACCCAAAAGACAGAGGCTTTATAAAGAAATCGGATTTGAAGATACTATACCGATTCCAGGATCAGTATCGATGATGATTTTCTTGCGATCTCCCGTGGCCATCGTACTTTTTAAGGGACCCAAATGCAGAGAAAGGTCGAATCTTTACTTTCTTATTCCTCTCTGGTTCCTACACGCAAAAGAGAGAGAGCCTTTTAGAATGATCTTTTTGATCTGTACGCGAAAAAGAAGAAGAATGAAGCAAAAAGGTTGTTTCTTTTTGCAGTAAATGCAATCGTGGCTTTGTTGTCACCTTTTTGGATGCTTCTTCTGTGTTTGTTTGTATTAAAGAAATCGAATTTTATTCGGTCACGTTTATCATTTTTGTTCCAGTTTTGTTTTCTTCATATTTCTTCTTCCTATCTACTCCAGTTTCAGACAAGATCCCACCTACGGATGGATAGTTCTGTCTGAATGATTTTTTTCCGAAAGAAACAAAGCATTCCGGTCTAGTCTAATTTTTACAAACCAGGTTTGATTGACATTTCGGTTTAGACAAAGAAGTCTCAAACCGGGAAAAAAACATCGTCTACGAGATCATTTTTGAATATTTCATCAAGTCACTGATCGAGCCTTTCTATAACTTATTTTCTTTCTTTTTGGCATCTTTTATTTCTCTCTTTTCTTTTGTGTAATGTGTATTATGTTATATCTTTATTCTTTGTAAGTATAATTCTTTGAAATAAATTTCAATTGCGTTTGATTGTATTTCTTATTACCCTGAAACTTATGGTGTTATATCTGATATCCTCAGTCTCTCTTATGCGTTTGATTGTATTTCTTTTGCTTGGTATCAGCGTGGAAACAACAAGGAAGCTGATGCCTTGGCTAAGCAAGCCTTGTTGAACTAATCTCATGTAATGACCTCTTTTGACATTGGAGTTTTAAGTATGAATGAATATTGTGTTACAAAAAAAAATTCAATTTTTTAGGTCACATTTTTTGCGTGTGCGTTAAATCATCATAACTTTGGGCCGGGACTGGGTTTCATCTCGACAGATGGAAAGTGTTTCACAATCACACACATTTATTGGCGTGATAATGTCGTAACGAAGAGTCGAAGACCAAAGCAAGAGCTTAGACATTCAGTCAACAACTCGATCGGGTTTTGTATGGATGAACAATCCTTTTTTTCGTAATCGTTAACTTATATCTATACATACATCTTTGAAAAACTAGTAGACTAAATATAATTATAACGCAAACACATCTTCGATCATTTTCAGAAAGAAAAAAAAAAATCTTTGGTTTGATTGTTATCACGTTTTACTAGGTAAGTAAGCATATGTTCTAAGGTCTAAAAGAAACATGTGTTCTAAACCCTTTGTTTATACGGTTAAATTTGTGTCATACGTACGCATTGTCTCGCCTCTATGCGTGCATCAGTGCATGGGTTTAGGGTTTAACATTTTATATCAGTTTCAGTTAAACATAAAAGAATACTCCCTAGCTAACGATATACTTATGCCTTGAATAAAATGGTCAGTTACAAAACATTTTTAATTGATGCGCCTTTTGAGACTTCCTAAGCGCAAGATAGTTCGATAAAAAATAATAAATTGTAAGAAAGTTCTCCACCTCCACACGCAAATTCTTTTTTTTTTCTTGAACATTAACACTCAAATTCTTACAAAGTGTAAAACATATTGTCACAAATGAGGAGGACTCTACTTATCGCGAATAAACCAAAAAAACATACATTGTTGTCAGTTTGCTGAACTTTCTAGCAAGAAAAAGTCTTCCAAATTCAAAAAATCTATAAGTTACATATATAATTTATATTATACGGTTTGAGAACGAGTGAACGACGTGGTCCCCAATCTCATTGTTGTTACTCGCGTAGTTTCTCCCATCACTACATTATTGCATGTCTCTTTCCTGAATTTTTCACAGTTCATAACTCAGAACTCAATATTTCAGGAATCAGCATGCTATCTCTGTGTACCCCGAAACAGAGAACATTTGAGGCACTTGAAAATGAGTTACAACTTCCTACTCCACCTCTCCTTTTCTATTAAATATCACATTCTTAAACTTAAAACCCAGACTTCCTGTCTTGGATACTATATTATATGCCACTAATAATGGTTACTTACAAAACATGTTTGATTGAACCTCATACCAAAAAAAAATGTTTGATTGAACCCCTTTAGAGAATCCCCAACCAAGAAACATCCATTTTGTATTGAATGTTTTCAAAATATGTATTGCACCATAAATATGATATATGGCACCATAAATATGATATATGGCACCATAAATATGTATTGCACCATAAACAAATGGAGAGTGTACTCATCCCTAACCAAGAAACATACATAATGTGTGTTAGATGTCTTGAGTACTACATAAACTATATGCCTTGAATAATGATTACTTTTCAAAAGATGTAGATTGAATCATCTTTAGAGAATCCACCCTCCCCATAAGCTTAATTGTTCGATCAAAAATTATAGAATTTTTTTTTTGACAAAGATTTTCTATATAAACTAGGTAACATACATTTTTTTTTTCTTTATAGAAAAAAATATACATGTTTCAAGTTTAAAATAATTAATAGCAAGAAATATACTTTTAAAGTTTTTTTTAAATGACATTCAAGTCCCATTTATAACGTTGTTTTCTCCTCTATATAAGGAGAGTTCTCTTCAATGCTAACCAAACAACACAATGGCAACTGGAATAGTTAAAGCAGCAATCATAAAGAAGATCAAGGAGGCGATAAAAGATTTCGTCTTTGTTCCTGGAGTAGCTCAGTCCATCCAGAAGCAGCTAGGGAAAGTGGGAGCTACGGAAGCCGGCATCAAGCATTCCGATATCATTAATGTTGAGCACAATGATATGAAAGGAGTTGGTTATTACATCACGAATGATGTGTGCACGGAAAAACATATGCTCGTAAAGAACGGTGCTAGACTGGAGTATTACATCGAGACCAAGCATAATGACGTCTCAAAGAAGAACGATGTGGAACTCATCTTCACCACTCAGATGCCACAGAAGACTCCTGAGGGTGGAGATGGAGCCAGCGGCTCGAACTAGATCAACCTCAACGGTCTGCACTATCCTGACTCACTTTGGTAGTGATCAATAATCTATCTTTTATTTTAATCGATGTCTAGTGGTTTGTGTGTCTTAAGATCGTGAGTCGTGTCTTAAATAAATGAGTCTTCTTGAGTCCTTCTAGATTGTAAGGGTCTCACAGAGATTCTCTTCGACGACTCTCTCTATCCCTTTTAAATTGATGCATGATCCTTTGATCTGTATCAATTAGTCTGGTTGTTGTAGTAATTAAGTCTTAAAAGTTTGAGTCATGTAATAAAATTATGAGTTTCTTGAGTCATTTGGATTGTAAGGGTTTCACAGAGATTCCTTGTTCAATTTAACAATGATTTCAGAAATTATATCGTACTGTTTCAAAGTTATTTGCATGCGTGACAAACTTCAAATATAATGGACGCGAGTAACTAGTTAATTAGTATATTATTATTAGAGAGGGATTTATCATATAGAATTCCTGATGGTTTGCATTGACGTGTGGCCACGTGTTAAATTTATTAACTAGTTACTTGTCAATCAATAGAGTTAACTCTAGATTTGACGAGTGGAAATGAATATTTGGTAGTAAGTAAAACATAGAAAGTGAACAAAATAAAGATAACAAAGATTGTAAATTGAAGAAGAAAAGGCAAGATTCCATTGTGTTGTTCCACCAAAAAGGAAAGACGAAAGAAATATTTGGTAACAAATTAATTACGGATGGATCTTCTCTCCATCTCTCTTTTTAAGTTGGTGGAGATTGGAGATGATATGTAGGAGACTTTTTACTTTGTAAAATCATAGAAAAAAGTAGACTAATTTTATTTCATTTCGAAGTTTATTGAACAATGTCACAGCTTCTCTTCCGTCTCTCCAAACTCTCTTACCGTAACAAGGATGTTTTTGTATGTAAAAGCTTCTCTTCCTCTTCCCTTTGGTTTAGGTCTAATCTAGTTAGGTTTTGTTAAGCTAGGCTTGGAGTTAGACAAGATGAGTGTTTATGTTCGTTTTAATTTGGGCAGGTACAGAAGAGCGTTCGTTTGTTTTCAAGCAGCCCTTGTTTAGCACTTTGCTGCGGTTGTGATGATGCTTTGGGTTTGCTAGAAAGTGGCAGCTACACCGGAAGGGTCCTGTTTTTTGATCCGGCCAAGAAAGAGATACTCGAGGTCCCGGGAAAAATAATTCCACGAGAGCTAGCTCACTCGACAATGATGGGAACTTCACAAGGATGGGGTTTTTTCTCTCAACATTCCAATCATAACTCCGTATGTATCAGCGACCATTTTAATCATCTGTCTTCCAGTTCAAAAATCAAGATGATTCCCCTGCCGCCACTTACTAGTATGCTCTATGGTCAAACCAAAGTGGTCTGCAACGTGGCAATGTCCTCCTCTTCCCCTCATGAGGAAGATTGTGTGGTGGCTATCAAGTTCTTTGGTAGGCAACTGAGTATGTGCAAGCCTGGTCGTGACCTTGCTTGGACTAACATGCTAATCCCTTTCGACTGTGCGGGAAACTCTAATCTCATGTATTCAAAGAAAGATCAAAAGTTTTATTTGCCTGCCCCTGGAGGCAACTACTTGTGCTCTTGGGATCTCAACTTCAATAACAACGACGACCCTAAGTTCAATGAGTTGGTGTTTCCTGATCATCCCGCCGATATCCCACAGTCCACGTGGGAGTTGTTGGATTCTTGTAACAGGGAGGACCATTGGGTGGAGTCACCTTCCGGTCAAAGTTTCCTAGTCCAGTGGTAAGGAATATAATGTAACATGTAGACAAGACAGAGATTTTTTGGTCAATGCTAACGAATGTAACATGTAGACTTATAAATGTGTGTGTGCAGTTATTCAAATGTAGGAAGAAGCAAAGCCGAGCAGATAAAGCAGATAATGGTGTTTAGAGAGGAGGAGGAGGATCAAGTCACATCAAAAGGAACAAGAAACATGTGTTACACCCAGGACATTGGAGATCTTTGCATCTTCCTTTCAAAGAACGATCCTTTTTGCGTTGTGGCAAGCTCTTGCCCTGGTCTCATTCCCAACTCCATCTACATGATGGATTATAGCGTAGCTATTTGTGATCTCACCGAGAGAACTATCGATCGTGTTAATTTTAACAAAATGCCTTCCGCTTTCTGGATTCCTCCATGTTCTGTCTAGTTCTTTGGTTTGTGTGTTTGCTTTCGGATTTGCTATTATCATCTTTATGTTCCTTTTTTTTGACTCTGTTATTTAGTTTATGTCATTTTTTTCTAATATTTTGGCTAACATGTCACTTACGATCATTAGACTAATAGAGCTTTATAGACACATAAAATAGAGTTATTCTTGGGTTCACTCCCTATGGTGAACCTCTAAATTCACCATCCAATAGGATTGCATTATTTCATATTTGATATCTTTTTAAAAAGAAAACAAAATCTTGTTAAGTTATATATATTATGTTTTTAAAAATAAAAATATAAAAATAAATAAATAATAATAATAATTAAGAAAAATGAAAATAATTCTTTAAAAAAATATATTTTAACACTAAACCTTAAAATCTAATCCTAAACCCTAAATCCTTTGGTAAATTATAAATCTTTGGTAAATTTTATAAAAAAAATCTTTAAGAAAATTATTTTCACTAAAACACTAAACCCTAAACTCTAATCCTAAACCCTAAACCCTTGGGTAAATCATAAACACTAAACCCTAAATTCTAATCCTAAACCCTAAACCCTTGGGTAAATCATAAACACTAAATTTTTATATATTTATCCAAAGGTTTGTGATTTACCTAAGATTAGACTTTAGAGTTTAATGTTAAAATATTTTTTTTAATAATTATTTTCGTTTTGCTTAATTATTATTATTTTTATTATTTTTGTATTTTTATATTTAAAACATACAGTATAACTTAATAAGATTTTATTTCCTTTTTAAAAAGATATCAAATATAAAATGATGCAATTCTATTGGATGGTGAATCTAGAGGTTCACCCTACGGGGTGAACCCAAGAATAAGTCCATAAAATATTCCCCCCAAAAAAAGTTTATACTCGCCTTGACATTATTTTTTACAATAAAGACGTTGGTCTCATGAATCATTCAAACTTGGAAGCCGGATGTTTACAATAAGAGGTTGTTGGTCTGAAGCCGAGTTGTTTACAACGACCACCTGACCGAGCTCCTTTTGCAACTGCCTTGACACTTAGCTATTTTATTCAGTTAGCTATATGAATAAAGTGTTTATTTCTTCTACACAATAATAACCATGCAGTATCATACGAGTTCTTTGTCTAGTTAGACCTAACAATATTAATAACTTATCAGATTTCAAATATATTATTGAGGGAAAATATAAGGGAACCCATTAGAATAAAACAAAATTCACTTTGTTAAGACAACGTAATAAAAATATGAGTTTGTAGTTAGTCTTAATTCTTAAAAGCTGGAGTCAATGTAATAAAATTATTTTGAGTTTTATTTGCATGCATGGTATACTTCAAATATAATGGCACGTAACACGTCTAGCAAGTTTTTTTTTTACTGAAACACGTCTAACTAGTTAGTACAGTAATACTGAGGGTTTTATCACACAAAATTCTCGACGGTTTGTGTTTCAAAAAAAAAGAAAAACTTTGATCGTTGGTGGAGCTACGGTTCCCGCTCCGGAATCGGAAACGGATCCAGAATCGCTCGGAAACGTTTGGAATCGCATGGGAATCACGATTCTTGAAAAGATGTGTTTGGATCCGTAACAGAAACGTATGTTTCAGAGTTGGAAGTGGTACTGTGTGTTGATCGGAATCGGATGTGTATTGCCGGCGACTTCGACATAAAGAAAGAAGTGAAGAGTTTTACAAACTTATCTTGGGGTTTAGATGGTCCAGTTGATTTATTCATTTGACACACATAATATATTTAGTCGCCTGTTATTTTAATAATTTTGCATAAGCCAAATAAAAAATACTCAATTATCTATCATAATGCAAACTTTTTTATAGGCATCTGACTTTTTCCAGTTAGTGAACTTAAAAAAAATTAAAATCATATGTTGCTCCTTTTTAATAGTTACTTTAATCACATTGAATTTTATATTTAATTGTTTTATTTAAGTATAAACTATTATTTATAATATATATACGCTTCCAAAACATATCCGCTTCTTACTTATTTTATAAAAATTTGATTCTACGTTTCCAAACGATTCCGGTTCCATGCATCCGCTTCTGATTCCATGCATTGTTTGTACTGGTATTCGTCGAATGAGTTAATTCTGGATTTGACGAGTGGAAATGAATAGTTGGTAAGAGATAAAAAAGGATAGAAAGTGAACAATTCATAAAAAAAAAATGAAAAAGGTAAATTTAACAAGAAAAGTCAAGATTTCATTATGTTCTGAAAGAAATATTTGGTAACAAATCTCTCTCTATTTTAAAGATGGTGGAGACTGGAGAAGATATGTAATACATTTTTTTACTTTGTAAATTAATCAAAACACTAGTTTTATTTCATTTTGAAGTTTATTGAACAATGTCACAGCTTCTCTTCCATCTCTCCAAACGCTCTTCCTGGAGCAAGAATCTATTTGTATGTAAAAGCTTCTCTCTCTCTCTCTATTGGTTTAGTTCTGATCTAGTTAGCTTGGCTTTTGTAAGGGAATCCAGTTGAGTTTGTCTCTAGTTATTGGATTAGAAGCTAGGGTTAGTTAGACAAGATGAGTGTTTCTAGTAGTGTTTCGGTTCTGATCTCTTGAGTTTCAATTTGGGCAGGTACAGAAGAGCGTTCGTTTGTTTTCAACTAGCCCTTGCTTGGCACTTGGCTGCGTTTGGGATGATACTTTGGGTTTGGTAGAAGGTGGCAGCTACATCGGAGATGCCCTCTTTTATGATCCGGCCAAGAATAAGATACTCCACGTCCCAGATAAAACAATTCCACAAGAGCAACTTAACTCGCCAGTAATAGGAGCTTCACAAGGATGGGGATTTTTTTCTCAACAACGGTCCAATCATAACTCTGTATGTATCAGCGACGTTCTTAATCCTCTGTCTGGTTCCAAGTCAAAAACCAAGATGATTCCTCTGCCTCCGCTTACTAGTATGCTCTATGGTCAAACCAAAGTGGCCTGGAACGTTGCAATGTCCTCCTCTTCCCCTGAAGATTGTGTGGTGGCTATCAAGTTCTTTGGTAGGCAACTTAGTATGTGCAAGCCTGGTCGTGACCTCGCTTGGACTAACATACTAATCCCTTTCGCCGAAAACTCTAATCTCATGTATTCAAAGAAAGATCAAAGGTTTTATTTGCCTGCCCCTGGGGGCAACTACTTGTGCTCTTGGGATCTCAACTTCAATAACAACGACGACCCTAAGTTCAGTGAGTTGGCGTTTCCTGATCATCCCCAAATGCCACAGTCCTCGTGGGAGTTGTTGGATTCTTGTATCAGGGAGTACCATTGGGTGGAGTCACCTTCCGGTCAAAGTTTCCTAGTCAAAATGTAAGTGAATGTAACATGTAGACAAAAAAACAGAGATTTTTTTTGTCAATGTTAACGAATGTAACATGTAGACATATAAATGTGTGCAGTTATTCAATTGTAGGAAACAAAGACACGATAGAGCTAATGGTGTTTAGAGAGGAGGAGAATCAAGTCACATCAAAAGGAACAAGAAACATGTGTTTCACCCAGGACATTGGAGATCTTTGTATCTTCCTTTCAAAGAACGATCCTTTTTGCGTTGTCGCAAGCTCTTTCCCTGGTCTCATCCCCAACTCCATCTACCTGATGGATTATAACGTAGCTATTTGGGATCTCGCTAAGAGAACTACCCGTCGTGTTGATTTTCCCAATATGCCTATCACCCCTTTCTGGATTCCTCCATGTTCTGTCTAGTTCTTTTGTTGGTGTGTTTGCTTTTGGATTTGCTATGCTCATCTTTATGTTCCTTTTCTTTTTTTTTTTTGACTCTGGTATTTAGTTTATGTCACATGCTGGTCATTAGACTAATAGAGCTTATAGACACATAAATATTGCCCCCAAAAAAGTTTATTACATCAAAGAAATTGGTCTCATGAGCCATTCAAACTTGGAAGCCATTTACAATAAGAGGTGTTGGTCGGTGCACAAAAAAAAAGGGTTGTTGGTCTGAAGCCGAGTTGTGTAGAGCGACCACCTGACCGAGCTCCTTTCGCAACTGCCTTGACACTTAGCTATTTTATTCAGTTAGCAATATGAATAAAGTGTTTATTTCTACACAATAATAACCATACGAATTGTCAGATTCAAAGCGTCCTAGATTCAATATTTGTTGCAATATTGTTTCATTTAAAAAAAAAAAAATCTAACTGAATCATGAAAAAAACAATTTTTTTAAATCTTAGTAGTCCAAACCGGTAATAAGAAAATAAAAGCGACAACAATATCATGACTAGATAGAAACTGGAGGAAGCCAGCAAGGGGTAGGGGTGGTGATAACACCGTGGGGAGCTTTATAATGATGTGTGTCTCCGGTAGTGAGATCATAAGAACCAAAGCCACGTCCCATGAAATAGATGGTGCTAGGTTTCAGACCGGGGCATGAGCTAGCCGGGATACAGAAAGCCTCGTTACTTGCAATGAAAATGCACATATCTCCAATATCCTCCGTGTAACACATGAATTTTCCTTCAGCCGTCTCCTCCTCACTAAACACCATGAACTTCACTGTTTTGTAATCAATTCCATTTAACACCGATGAGTAGGAGCCATGAGCGTACCTACACATATATGCAACCACAGTTTAAAAAAAAAAAATGAATTCACACTAGAATGATTGATTTAAAAGAATGTACCATTTGACTAGGTAACGTTCACCACTAGAGGGTGACTCCACAAGGTACTCCTTCCTGGAACACAAACTCAAAACCTTCCACTCAGACTGATCCAGCTCTGGATGGTCGCGGTAGACCAACTCATGGGGCTCAGTCTTTTCATTTAGATGATAGGAGAAAAAGTGAATGCCTCCATGAACAACTAAGTGGAATCTATTGTATCTTTTTGAATACATGACATTTGCGTTTTCACAGTAGCGGCAAGGGACTGGGATGTTAGTCCACTCAAGGTCACGACCGGGCCTGCACAGACTCAACTGGCATCCTGAAAACTTGATAGCCACTACACAGTCTTCATCACCAAGAGGAGACGGAGACGACATTGCTACGTTACATACTTGTTCGATTTGATGATAGGGAAGATCAGTAAGACAAGGGAGATGAATCACGGTGGGGTTTGATTTTGATGCCAAAGGATTGTAAATGTCGCTGATACGTACTGATAGATCACTCCGGTCATAGAAAAAACTCCATCCATGAGAAGCTCCAATCATTTCTTCGTCCTTGAGCTCTTTAGGTATTGTTTTGTCATGGAGAATCACTGTCTGTTCTTTGACCGGGTCAAACAAGAGAACATCTCCAGTTTTGCTGCCGCTCGGTAAAACTTTTTGAACCCTAGTACCAAGTGTCAAGTACGGGCCGCTTGAGAACAAACGAACGCACTTGCGGATCTGTCAAGTGATCTCAAACCATCAGAAATACAAACACTGATCTTGTCTAGACAAACTCAAACTCAACTGTGTTCTACTACAAGAGCCTATCTGAACAAAACCTAACTAATCCAGAACTAAATTAATAGAGAGAGAGAAGCTTTTACATACGCAAACATTGTTGTTCCGGGAAGAGAGCTTAGAGAGACGGGTGAGAAGCTGAGACATTTTTTTTTTTTGCGAAATTCTAAAACTACCAAATGTTTTGATGAATAAAAAAGAAAAAGTCTCCTAAATATTTTCTCCAATCTCCACCATTAATAGAGAAGAGAGTCACTCAAGATTAGTTACCAAAATCTTTTTCAAAAAAAAATATTAGTTACCAATTCTTCTTTCCACCCTCCTTTTTGGTTAAATCTACTTATGGAAACTTGCAGGAAGAAGGCTTTTTTCGTCAGTTTATATATAATATATTATATTCACTCTGTTTTTATTTATTTATTTATATAAATTCGTTTCACTATGGAGTCATGGGCCACTAGTTAAGTCTACAATAACTTTCATGTAAGAAAATATGTTACATGCAATAATTCATGTAGCCTGCAATCACCCTAAACAAGGTGAATTTTGTGCATTTTATGTATAAGATTTTAAGTTAATTTTGGTTAACATAAATGCAGCATGACGCTCTGATCGTATATGTGGAAAAAAATATAGAATTGTGTCTTATAACAATCAACAGAAGAAAATCGTTTATAAAAAAAAAGTAATCAACAGAAGAAATGTATTTCTACTTGTAGCACTCATGCGTAACGTGAACGCATCTCTGTCCTTCGCTTGCCGTCTCGACCAAAGACTCCAAACTACCAACGCAAGTGTCACTTTCGGCTCTCTCCTTTCTTGCCTGCTCCATGGCTTCAAGACTGGAGTCTCTCCAACTCCGACGACGTCAAAAACCTGCTGCTCAACCGCAAACGTAACGGCTATAACTCTTGAGGTTGTGTAAGCAATGTAGTAATCAATATACATTGATGGCATACACAGTTCATATGTATTTAGTACGTTGTTGGAGTATTTATTTTCTCTTTATTTTTTTTTCTATCATGACGAAACTCAAATGCTCACCCGTTAATTTAGTGTATAGAATACATCATTGGAGATTTGACGAGTCGGTCCATGGGGAAAATGAATATTTGGTAATAAATAAAACTTAGAAATAAAAGAAATAAATAAAAATAAAAAGGGATAAATTTGAAGAAGAACAGGCAAAATTCCATTATGATGTATAAGAAATATGAATATTTGGTAACCAAGTAATTATCATAGACTCTTCTCTCTCTCTCTCTCTCTCTCTCTCTCTCTCTCTCATTTAAAGTTGGTGGAGACTGGAGAAGACATGTTTACTTTTACTTTGTAAATTCATCAAAACACTAATTTTATGTCATTTTGAAGTTTATTGAACAATGTCACAGCTTCTTTTCCGTCTCTCCAAACTCTCTTCCTGGAACAAGGATGTTTTTGTATGTAAAATCTTCTCTTCCTCTTCCCTATTGGTTTAGTTCTAATTTAGTTAGGTTTTGTAGGGAAACCCAGTTGAGTTTGTCTCTAGTTATTGCATCAAAGATTATAAGCTAGGCTTAGAGTTGTTTCGGTTCTGATCATGAGTTTAAATTTGGCAGAAACAGAAGAGCGTTCGTTTGTTTTCAACCAGCCCTTATTTGACAGTTTGCAATGTTTGGGATGATGCTTTGCGTTCGGTAGAAGGTAGCAACTACTACGGAGGTATCTTCTTGTTCGATCCGGCCAAGGAAGAGGTAGTCAAAGTCCTGGAAAAAATAGTTCCACAAGAGCTATATAACTCGAGCTTGATGGGAGCTTCACAAGGATGGGGGTTTTTCTCTCAACAACGGTCCAATCATAACACTGTATGTATCAGTGACCTTTTTAGCCCTCTGGCTTCCAAATCAAAGACCAAGATGATTCCTCTGCCTCCGCTTACTAGTATGCTCTATGGTCAAACCAAAGTGGTCTGGAACGTGGCAATGTCTTCCTCTTCCCCTAAAGATTGTGTGGTGGCTATCAAGTTCTTGGGTAGGCAACTTAGTATGTGCAAGCCTGGTCGTGACCTCGCTTGGACTAACATATTAGTCCCTTTCGAATGCGCGGAAAACTCTAATCTCATGTATTCAAAGAAAGATCAACGATTCTATTTGCCTGCCCCTGGAGGCAACTACTTGTGCTCTTGGGATCTCAACTTTAATAACAACGACCCTAAGTTCAATGAGTTGGTGTTTCATAACCTTCCCCAGTTGCCACACTCTGCATGGGAGGTGTTGGATTCTTGTTTCAGGGAGGATCATTGGGTGGAGTCACCTTCCGGTCAAAGTTTCCTAGTCAGATGGTAAGGGATATAATGTAACATGTAGACATATATTTTTGGTTAGTGATATAACTCGGGGGTGTACGTCTGCATGCATGCAGGTATTCAACTGTCCCTTCTCTAAAAAGCAAAGACCCTATAATGATGGTGTTTAGAGAGGAGGATCAAGTCGTCACAGAAAATGGAACAATAAATATGTGTTACACCGAGGACATTGGAGATCTTTGCATCTTCCTTTCAAAGAGTGAGCCTTTCTGCGTTGTGGCAAGCTCTTGCCCTGGTCTCAAACCTAACTCTATCTACTTGATGGGCCGTCGCTTTGCTGTTTATGATCTCACCACCGGAACTGTTAGACATTTTGATGATCCCAACGATGTTCAGAAAAGGATTCCTTTCTTCCCTTTCTGGCTTCCTCCATTTTCTGACTAGTTGGTGTGTTTGGATTGGATTGCTATGATCTAGCGTTAAGATCATCTTTATGTTCATTTTTGACCCTGTTATTTAGTTTATGGTTTGTTTCACTTACTCAAAAATATTGGTCCACATATCACATCATGATTAAATTAATAGATTCATTGTAAAACAAATGTTCTTATACACAAAAAAAGAAAAAAAGAAAATGTTCTTATACACACACAAGTATGCCCTCCATATACTGACTTGACACTTTTTATACTGACTTGACACTTTTTCTTAAACATCAAAAACTCCATATATATATATATATATATATTTTAAAGATTTTAAGAAGCTGGTCTTATGACTCAATATTCTGTTTTTTTTTTAAAGAATGTTAAACTGATTTAAAATTTAACCTAAAAAAAAACTTTTTTTACAATGAATGTAGCATTGTTATGACTCAATATTCAAGAAATAGCTAAACGGTAATTATGAGTTTTATGTGTGTTACAAAAAGAAAAAAAAATGTGAGACTACATGGTAAACGGAGGAAGCCAGTAAGGAGTGGTGATAACACCACCAGGAGCTTTATAATGATGTGTGTGTCCAGTAGTGAGATCATAAGAACCAAAGCCACGTCCCATGAAATAGATGGTGCTAGGTTTCAGACCGGGGCATGAACTAGCCGGGATGCAGAAAGCCTCGTTACTTGCAATGAAAATGCACATATCTCCAATATCCTCCGTGTAACACATGATTTTCCCTTCAGTAGTCTCCTCCTCACTAAACACCATGAACCTCTTTGTTTCGTAATCAATTCCTTTTAACACCGATGAGTAGAAGCCACGTGCGTACCATTTGACCAGGTAACGTTCATCACTAGAGGATGACTCAACAAAGTATTCCCTCCTGGAACAAGAACTCAAGACCTCCCACTCGGACTGATCCAGCTCTGGATGGCCGCGATAGACCAACTCATGGAGGTCAGGGTTTTCTGCTGTGGCGTTGAGATGATAGGAGAACAAGTGTTTGCCTCCAGGAGCAGGTAAGTATAATCTATTGTCTCTTTTTGAATACATGAGATTTGAGTTTTCACAGCAGTTGAAAGGGGTTAAGATGTTAATCCACTCAAGGTCACGACCGGGCCTGCATAGACTCATCTGGCAACCTGAAAACTTGATAGCCACTAGACAGTTATCCTCACCAAGAGGAGAGGAACACGACATTGCTACGTTACATACTTGTTCGATTTGTTCAAAGAGAAGATCAGTAAGACACGGGAGAGTAATCACGGTGGGGTTTGATTTGGATGCTAAAGGGTTGAAAATGTCGGTGACACGTACGGTACGATCACTCCGGTCAGAGAAAAAAACCCATCCATGAGAAGCTCCAATCATTTCTTCGTCCTTGAGCTCTTTAGGTACTGTTTTGCCATGGAGAGTCACTGTCTGTTCTTTGACCGGGTCAAACAAGAGAACATCTCCAGTTTTGCAACCGAGTGTCAAGTACGGACCGGTTGAGAACAAACGAACGCACTTTTGGATCTGTCATGTAAACTCAGACCATCAGAACTGAATAGTAATTACAAACACTGATCTTGTCTAAACAAACTCAAACTAAATTGTGTTCTACTACAAAAGCCTATATGAACAAACCTAACCTAACTAATAGTCTAATACATAACTAATAATAAAAGAGAGAGAGAAGGTTTTACATACGAAAGCATTGTTGTTCCGAGAAGAGAGGTTGGAGAGACGGATGAGACGCCGTGACATTATTCGCAAAATGTTGTGATGAATAAAACAAAGAAAAAGTCTCCTTAATATTTTTCTCCAATCTCCACCATTAAAGAGAGAGCAGAGCAACTCAAGGTTATTTACCAAGTTCTTTTTTCCACTTTCCTTTTCTTGTGGAAACAAAATAATGGAAACTTGCCAAGCCAAGGTACTTTGTTATTACTTGCATGAAGAAAACTTTTTCCATAATTTATTAACTTTCTGTATTTATTTTATTTATACAATATTTAATTCACCATGGACCACTCGTTAAATCTGTAGCAACTTTCTTGAAAGAAAATCTGTTACATGCAATCATCATTTCTGTAACTTTCAAACTACATTTCATACCAAATCAATTATATTTCTATGACAATTCCCTATAGTTTACTGCCCACACACTGTCTATTATATATCAAAACGAAATTTTCCACTAACGCGGGTTTCAAACATATCATAGGCTTAATTAGTGTCACTTTAACCCTATCTAGTCCAGGTAAAATTTCTGTATGTTTTATAAGATTTCTAGCTAGTTAGCTTTTTGGTTAATATGAATGGAGCATGAAACTCTGAATCTCTGATCATAAGTGTAGTTACACAGGAAGACGCAGGTTTGTGGAGAAAAATATCGCATTGTGTCTTATAGTGATCAGTTTAGAGATGTCTTAAACATACATTCTACTTGTAACACTTCCTGTACGAGTTTAGTGTGATACCGAGATGTTATTTATTACTCTTCCTACGTGAACCCATCTATCTCCTTCGCTTTGCCATCTATCTCGGCAAAACCACCAGTGCACAATGTTACTTTCTTCACATGTGTCATACTTAACCTTTAGGTTTGTGTAAGCTATGTAGTAACCAATATATACATTGTTGGCAGACCGTATACACAGTTTTTTTCTGTCGCATACAGAGTTCATATGATGTATGTAGTATATGTTTGTTATGTCTGTCATGAAACTAAAATGCTCACAACGTGTCTTACACAAATGCATGAACATATTTTGATCTTATAAGTTAAATGATAGTATCATGAAACTAAAATGCTCACACAGATGCATGCATTAATTAGACTTCATAAACTAAAATGCTCAAAACGACATCGTTTTAATTAAACAAAAACGTTTATATATATATATTTATCATTTAACATCTCTCTCTCTTACGTTTCTCCCAAGTGTTGTTGAATCCTTCTTCCTTCCTCTTCCTCCTCCGATCAAATCAAATCCATAAAACCATGTCAGAGATGGAAAGCATGGACCCGGAAGGAATCGACTCAATCCGGATGACGTGGAACGTGTGGCCACGCAACAAAGTCGAAGCCAGCAAATGCGTAATCCCCGTGGCGGCCTGCATCTCCCCGATCCGCCCCCACCGCGACATCCAATCCGTCCCATACGCACCTCTCCGCTGCCGAACCTGCTCCTCCGCACTCAACCCCTTCTCCCGAGTCGATTTCACGGCCAAGATCTGGATCTGCCCAATCTGTTTCCAGCGAAACCACTTCCCTCCCCACTACCACGTCATCTCCGAGACCAATCTCCCCTGCGAGCTTTACCCTCAGTACACGACCGTTGAGTACGCGATGCCTAGCCCCTCTTCGGGGGGCGGGGGATTGGATCAGATCGGTGCGGGGGTGTTTGTGTTTGTGTTGGACACGTGTATGATAGAGGAGGAGTTTGGGTATGCGAAGTCGGCGGTTAGGCAGGCGGTTGGGTTGGTACCGGAGAATGCGATGGTTGGGTTTGTGACGTTTGGGAGGCAGGCGTGTGTGCATGAGTTGGGGTATTCGGAGTTGAGTAGAGTTTATGTGTTTAGAGGGGATAAGGAGATTTCTAAAGATCAGGTTTTGGAGCAGTTGGGGCTTGGGGTGGCTTCTGGGAGTGGGAGGAGAGGAGGTGGGCCCCATGTTTCTGGTGGGATGGGTTCTGGTGTTAGTAGGTTCTTGTTGCCTGCTTCTGACTGTGAATTCACTATTGATTCTGTGAGTTTTTATGACTCTTTTTTTATTTTTTATTCTGGTGGAGATTGTTAGTAATGTGATTTTTGTCTTGTGTAGCTGTTAAGACTGTTAATAGTGTGAATTCACTACTATTGATTCTGTGAGTTTTATGACTTTTTTTTTTAAATTCTGGTGGAGATTGTTAATAGTGTGATTTTTGTGTAATTGTTTTTTGTTTTGTGTAGCTGTTAGACTGTTAATAGTGTGAATTCACTATTGATTCTGTGGGTGTTTTTTTTTTGATAAAAGCTTATGCCTTTTTTTTCTTCTGATGGATATTTTATAGTTACTTTTGTTTTGTGTTGTGTAGCTGTTGGATGAGTTGCAGACGGATCAGTGGCCTGTTCAGGCTGGACAACGACAGTCGAGGTGTACGGGAGTGGCGTTGAGTGTGGCTATGGGATTGCTTGGAGCTTGTTTACCTGGAACTGGGGCTAGGATTGTGGCTTTAGTTGGAGGACCTTGCTCTGAAGGACCAGGCACGGTAACGCTCTTCTTTCTAGAGTTGACTTGCAATTTTAGAGGAAATGGTATATTGACTATGGAATTGTTCAGTGTCGAGTACTGAAAGTAACAACTAGCTATGATAGTTAGGGGAAAATAAGAGATAAATATTTGCTACTTTTTGTTGTTAAGATTTGATTGAGCATCAGAGGGGCACATATAGCCTAAAATCGGATGAAGAATATGTTGCTTAAAATAGTATGAAATTTAAACCAGAAATCTGTTGGGCTGTAATCTTTAACAATGAGATTGTGAGTTTTGCCTCTTGAGACAAAGTTCTTCGTTTAAGTTAGTCTTATGTCTGGCTTCTGCAGATTGTGTCAAAGGATCTATCAGAACCTTTGCGTTCACATAAAGACCTCGATAAAGATGCGGCTCCATTTTATAAGAAAGCAGAGAAGTTTTATGATGGTCTCGCCAACCAATTGGTTAATCAAGGACATGTACTTGACCTTTTTGCATCCGCACTTGATCAGGTATTTCGTGTTCACAGACATGGAATTCTTTGAAATCTGCTTTAATCTGTATCGTACTTATTTTTTTATGTGTGTCGAATATTAGGTTGGTGTTGCTGAAATGAAAGCTGCGGTTGAAAGGACTGGAGGACTTGTTGTTTTATCAGAAAGTTTTGGTCATTCTGTATTCAAGGATTCCTTCAAGCGAGTATTTGAAGGTGGCGAACAGTCTCTCGGACTTTGTTTCAAGTGAGCTACTTGCTATTTCATTTGCTAATCCAAATTCTTTTAGCTACTGGCATTCTTATTTATTTTCAAACTAACATTTCAGTGGTACACTTGAGATCAACTGTTCGAAGGACATAAAAATCCAAGGGATTATTGGACCTTGCGCGTCATTGCAAAAGGTTGAAACTACTCATACTCGGAAGTTTATCTTTTTGTCTTCAAATTACAACCTAACAGTTATGCTTTCATTTTGGGGAAATTTGCAGAAAGGCCCTAGCGTTGCTGATACAGTTGTTGGGGAGGGGAATACTACAGCATGGAAGATGTGTGGTCTCGACAAAAGTACTTGTCTGACGGTCTTCTTTGATCTTTCCTCAAGTGATCAATCAAATAATCCTGGAGCTGTGAATAACCAGCTATATATACAGTTTATGACAAGGTATCCTCTTCATGCAATTCCGAATTTGAGCATGTTTACCAATCTAATTGAAATTTGATCTTAAATATATGATTGCAGCTACCAAAATCCAGAAGGTAAATCCTTACTTCGAGTAACTACTGTTACCAGACAATGGGTAGATACTGCACTTAGCACAGAGGTTAGTACTATTCCACATTATTTTCTGGAATTACTTGGATACTGCTACTTCATTATGGGTTTATAAACCACATTATTTTTCGTCTTTGTGTCGACATGGATTCTAATGAGGTGTGTAATATCTTTAGGAATTGGTGCAAGGTTTTGATCAAGAAACTGCTGCTGTGGTGGTGGCCAGATTAGCTTCCTTTAAAATGGAAACAGAGGTAATATATTAAATTCAGGCACTTTCTAGCTCAGAGTCTTGGATTTTCATTCTTCAAAAGGGCAAATTGTCTTCACCATTGTTTATCTTTAGTTACCAAACTTATTAACTATGTTTTCTCAGGAGGGGTTTGATGCTACTCGATGGCTAGACAGGAACCTTATTCGTCTTTGTTCCAAATTTGGTGATTACCGGAAGGATGATCCTGCATCATTCACTCTGAATCAAAACTTTTCACTTTTCCCTCAGTTTACATTTAATCTCCGGCGTTCACAGTTTGTCCAGGTAAGTGTGAAGCAGTAGAAGGTGTAAATATATCTCTGTAATAACTTCGCCATTTTGTGATCTTCTCTTGTTTCTTCATATCGTGATGTTGGCAGGTGTTCAACAACAGTCCAGACGAAACTGCGTACAACCGCATGCTATTGAACCGAGAAAATATCTCAAACGCAGCTGTTATGATTCAGCCATCTCTAACAACTTACTCGTTTAGCACGCTGCCTCAGCCTGCGTTGCTGGATGTTGCTTCCATCGCTGCAGACCGTATCCTCTTGCTGGATTCGTACATTAGCGTTGTTATTTTCCATGGCATGACCATAGCGCAGTGGCGCAACTTGGGCTATCAAAATCAGCCTGAACATCAGGTAATGGTGAATTTTCTTGAAGATGCATTGGTAAATCAAGCTTACATGTTTTGATTTGATCTCTTTGTTTGTCTAAAGGCATTTGCACAACTCTTGGAAGCCCCTCAAGAAGATGCGCAGATGATCATCCGTGAACGTTTCCCTGTACCGAGATTAGTTGTATGTGATCAACATGGATCTCAGGTTAGTTTTTTTTATAACTCTTTCATCTCCTCTGAATGTGTAGTTACTTTCTTGAACGTCTCTAGTGTTTTTTTTACTTTTGAGTAATACGTTTAGTAATAATGGGGGCAGGCAAGGTTTTTACTAGCTAAGCTAAATCCGTCAGCAACATACAACAACCCGAGCGAGATGAATGCAGGTTCTGATGTAATCTTCACGGATGATGTTAGTCTCCAAGTCTTCTTCCAACATCTTCAGAAATTGGCTGTTCAATCTTGAAAACACAGAGGTTGACAGAATCAAAGCAAGTCTGAGACTGAATCCCACAGAGACAAATAAAGATGCAGCCATCGCTCACTGGAGTGTCTCTGTCTTAAAGTTTTCTCATAACACACACATGAACAAGACTATGCTTTTGTTTTGTTTTCCACAGTTTTTGTTTTGTTTTCCACAGTTTTTGTTTTCTCATGTAGTTAACAAATTTTGTAGTTCCATTTCTTCATAGTTTTATTTATTTTGTTATATTTTCTCTTTATTTATTATTAAACTAGATGAGGGTCCGCTCATTATGAGACTTATACATGTCTAACAAATTTAATTTTAATGTTAATTTAGATTTAATATTAAATCTAAATTGTTAGATTAGATATAAGTTAAATTTCTATTTATTTAAGAATTAAATTTGCTTAATTATTAATTTCTTCATAATTTTTATGTAATTTTACTTATTTTTTATATTTTAATAATTTCATATATAATTTTAATTATCATTTAATAAAACGAATTTATATTACTAATAGAATATTTGTAGAAAATAATTTAATTCTTTTGCATTAAATTGTATTCTTAAAAATATTTTATCATAAAATATAAGTGAATTTGCTAATTTGTAACTTCTCCGTAATTTAGATAATTTTTATTATTTGTCATGTTTTTAATAAATTCATATAATAAAAATGAATTTCAATTAATAATATTATATTTTAGAAAGAAAGATAATTCTTGTGTATTAGATTGTTACTTTGGAAATATTATGTATTATAAAATTTAAGTGAATTCGCTGATTTGCGGAGAAAATTTAGGTTATTTTTCTTATTTATCATATTTTTAATAAATTCATATATAATTTATTTATAATAAAATGATTGTCTTACTATAAATCTTCCCTCATTGACATGAATTCAGTTACTACTTACTATTACGTTAAAGTAGGTTACAAAGTGAAGACGCGTTAAAAACTCAACAATCTCGACTAAAAATGCTAGCTCGAGATGGAGTCAACTAAACAAAAGAAAAACTCACAAGCGAAGGGATTTCAACACGATTCAATTGCACAATTTCTGGTTACCTCACAACACAAAATTAAAGTTTAAAACAGGAAATGAACGAAGCAAACCTGTAAACTGAGGCGCCACGGTTCCGAGAGTAAGCTTAGAAAATGTCAAGGAAGCAACAACGGCAGGTCGATACTGCTCGAGAACAGGCTCCACGGATGCTCTTATAAGCTCCGAAGCTGCCTAAACTCCAACGAATTAAAAAAAAAAAAAAAAAAAAAAAAAAAAAAAAA